CCCCTGGCTTATCCATATATCCGTTTTATGACAGTTTTTATGGTTTTATGACAGTTTAAAACTGTCATATGACAGTTTTCAGACAAAGTTGTTAAAGTTGGTTTTGGTCTCATTTTCTGGTACATACGAAAATATCATCAAACATTCTCGATTCTTGTCTTTCTGAGTCTTATCCAATTGAAGATTTGGGAGTACCAACAAATACTTCAATTTGAAAGTGATAATCACAATTCTCAGAATTTCCAAACCTTTCTACAACCAAATTTCTAACATAAATTTCTACACCCAAATTTCTAACATAAATCGAAGTAATTTGTGATCATGGCAAGTGGCGATTCTGTGAAGGATATGACAAGCAAGTTTAACAAATTGAACAAGTTTGAAGGGCAAGATTTTCGTAGATGGCAGAAGAAGATGCACTTTCTCCTTACCACTCTGAAAGTGGTATATGTTCTGAGTACACCCATGCCAGTCTTACCAGAATCTGTTGAAGATGAACCTTTGGAGGCAACAAGAAGGAGATCAAAGTGGGAAAATGATGATTACATATGTCCTGGTCATATTCTCAATGGTATGTCTGACTCTCTTTTTGATATCTATCAAAATTTCGAATCTGCAAAAGAACTGTGGGATTCTCTTGAATCCAAATACATGGCAGAAGATGTTTCTAGCAAGAAGTTTCTTGTCAATAACTTTATGGGTTACAAAATGATTGACTCTAGGCCTGTTATGGAACAATTCCATGAAATGTTAAGGATCCTGGGACAGTTTGCTCAACACAATCTGAAAATGGATGAAGCCATTTCTGTGGATGTGATTATTGACAAACTGCCCCCTTCCTGGAAGGATTTTAAACACAATCTGAAACATAACAAAGAGGAAATAACTTTGACTCAAATTGGAAGCCATTTACGGATTGAAGAGTCCTTAAGGACTCAAGAACTTGATAACAATCCCAAAGGCAAGAACCAAGTTGGTTCCTCTTCTATAAACATGGTGGATGGAGAAGGATCAAAGAATCAAAAGAAGTCTAATGGAAAAAGGAAGTTTAAAGGAAAGGATGAAAAGTCTTCCAACAAGAAGGCTAAAGTGGTGTGTTGGAATTGTAACAAACCGGGTCACTTCAAGAAAGATTGTCGTTTGCGTAAAGTGAACAAGGATGGTGCAGGACCAAGTGGATCCAAGGATCCAGAGAAGCAACAAGGTCAGATTTATGTATTCATGCAGAATTCTAAATATATTCAAAATTATATTTCTGTGATTTCTGAAGTATTTTATGTGCAGGATGATAATGTTGCATGGTGGGTTGATTCGGGAGCAACAAGTCATGTTTGCAAAGATTTATATTGGTTCAAGGACTTTCAACCAATTAATGATGGATCTGTTGTGAAGATGGGAAATGTTGCAACTGAACCAATCAAGGGCATAGGATATGTTTTACTTACTTTTACTTCTGGGAAATGTTTGTGTTTGAACAATGTTTTATATGTTCCAGGGATTCGTAAGAATCTTGTGTCTGAAATTGTATTAAATAATTGTGGTTACAAACAAGTATTAGAAAGTGACAAGTATATCTTGTCAAGACATGGTTCTTTTATAGGATTTGGATATGTATGTAATGGAATGATTAGGCTAAATATTAATTATCTTTTTATTGATAATTCTGTTTGCATGGCTTCTACTAGTACTAGCAATAATTTTAATAAATATGAATTATGGCATGCTAGACTAGGACACATTCATTACAAAAGATTAAAAGACATGTCTAAAATGAGTTTAATTCCTTCCTTTGATATGCAAAATAATGAAAAATGTAAAACATGCATGCTAACTAAAATCACTAGACAACCTTTCAAAGATGTTGTTAGGGAAAGCAAGGTTTTGGATCTAATACATAGTGATTTATGTGATTTCCATGCAACACCTTCCCTTCAAAACAAAAAGTATGTTGTTACTTTTATTGATGATGCATCTAGATATTGTTATGTCTATTTGCTACATTCTAAGGATGAAGCACCTGATAAATTTAAAATTTATAAACAACAAGTTGAGCTTCATAAAAATGAATTAATAAAAGTCTTGCATACTGATAGAGGTGGTGAGTATTATGATCCAATTTATTTTGAATCAACTGGAATAATACATCAAACCACAGCTCCTTATACACCACAACAAAATGGTGTAGCTGAAAGAAAGAATAGGACTTTCAAAGAAATGGTTAATTCCATGTTGTCTTATTCTGGATTAAGTGAAGGGTTTTGGGGTGAGGCAATGTTAACTGCATGTTACATCCTGAACAGAACTCCAAATAAAAGGAGTAAGAATACTCCTTATGAACTTTGGTGTAAAAAGGTACCAAATTTGAGTTATCTCAAAGTTTGGGGTTGCAGAGCAGTTGTAAGGCTCACTGAACCCAAAAGGAAAACATTGGGTGAGAGAGGTATAGATTGTATCTTTATTGGATATGCCGAGCATTCCAAAGCTTATAGATTCTATGTTTTAGAATCTAATGACTCTGTGTCTGTTAACATTGTTATAGAGTCAAGAGATTCTATCTTTGATGAAGAAAGATTTACATCTATACCTAGACCAAGGGACATGATTCAACAATCTTTCAACAAAAACACAACTCAAGCTGGAGATGATTCTGGGGGTACAAGTTCTGTACCTGAACTTAGAAAGAGTACTAGAGCTAGAAAAGCTAAGTCGTTTGGATCTGATTTTCAACTTTATCTAGTTGAAGGAACAAGGAATGAGACTATATGTCAACATCAATATTGTTTTAATATTGAGGAGGATCCAAAGACTTTTAGTGAAGCTATGGGTTCTAGGGATGTTCATTTCTGGAAAGAAGCAATTCAGGATGAGATTGATTCTATCATGCATAACAATACTTGGGTATTGTTAGATTTACCTCCTAGTTGCAAGGCATTGGGAAGTAAGTGGATCCTCAAAAGGAAAATGAAGGTGGATGGCACAATTGATAAGTATAAAGCCAGATTGGTTATCCAAGGCTTTAGGCAGAAAGAAGGCATTGATTTCTTTGATACTTATGCTCCTGTTGCTAGAATTTCCACTATTAGATTATTGTTAGCTCTTGCAACTATACATAATCTTGTGATTCACCAAATGGATGTGAAAACTGCATTCTTGAATGGTGACTTAGATGAGGAAATCTACATGAAACAACCTGAAGGATTTGTTATGCCTGGTCATGAAAATAAGGTGTGCAAATTGAAGAAATCATTATATGGTTTGAAACAAGCACCAAAACAATGGCATCAAAAGTTTGATGATGTTGTCTTGTCTAATGGTTTTGCATTAAACCAAGATGACAAGTGTGTATATAGCAAATTTGATACTTCTGGTAAAGGAGTCATGATTTGTTTATATGTAGATGATATGTTGATATTTGGTACTGATTTGGAAGAAGTTGATAAAACTAAGAAATTCTTATCATCTAGTTTTGATATGAAAGACATGGGGGAGGCTGAGGTAATTCTTGGTATAAGAATTAGAAAAGGAAAAAATGGGATTTCAGTTTCTCAATCTCATTATATTGACAAGATATTGACAAAGTTTAACTTTGAGAATTGTTCTGCTGTTAGCACTCCTATAGATCCTAGTCTTAAGCTTCTACCTAATAAAGGATCTCCAGTGTCTCAACTTGAATACTCAAGGGCTATTGGTTGTCTAATGTATGCCATGATTAGTACTAGACCTGATATAGCTTATGCTGTGGGAAGACTTAGTAGATATACTAGTAATCCTAGTTCACATCATTGGCAAGCTGTGAGTAGAGTATTCAAGTATTTGAAAGGGACCATAAATTATGGTTTAACTTATAGTGGATATCCTTCTGTTTTGGAAGGTTATTCAGATGCCAGCTGGATTAACAACTTAGAGGATCACTCTTCTACTAGTGGTTGGGTGTTTCTTCTTGGAGGAGGTGCCATTTCTTGGGCATCCAAGAAACAGACTTGTATTACTAACTCAACTATGGAATCTGAGTTTGTTGCATTGTCTGCTGCTGGTAAAGAAGCTGAGTGGCTAAGGAATTTGATTTATGAAATTCCATTATGGCCCAAACCGATATCTACCATTTCTATCAGATGTGATAGTGCTGCAACTTTGGCTAAGGCTTATAGTCAAGTATACAATGGAAAGTCTAGACATTTAGGTGTTAGACATAGCATGATTCGTGAGCTCATCATGACTGGTGTGATATCTGTGGAGTTTGTAAGAACTCAGTTGAATTTGGCCGATCATCTAACCAAAGGGTTAGCAAGAAATCTTGTGCACAAGGCGGCTGTAGGGATGGGTTTGAAGTCCACTTAAAATCTTTTATATTGAGATACCCAATTCCCATCTAATGTAATATTAGATGCTGAATTCAATGTGGAAAGCTTGATATTTGAAGATTGGAACACATTTTATCATCATCCCAAGGTATGTGTTCAGTACTGCAAGTTAAGAAGGTTGAAGTTTTATTTCTTAATAGTTCTTTGAAAAATTGCATTTGCAGGTGCAAGAACAAAAGAACTACTTATATAAGTATGAAGTTTAGCTTCTTCAAGAAGTTGGGACTTGACTTTGATATACTTATTGAAGGATGGGACACAAGCTAGTAAAATATAGTATCAAGTTAGAACTTATGAGAATGTAAATTGTTGTGTGTATTATCTTCATGTATTCACTATGAATAGAAAGGGTTCAATCCGTAGTGACACCCTAATATTCGGATATTTGGAATGAATAATATACTAATGTGAAATTCAATCATCACGACATTTCATTTATGCATCAATTTGTTGTTGTTATGTTTCATTTTAAGTTAATCAAGATTACACTTAAATGGGGGGGAGGTTTGTTGGTGATTTTGATCATCAATATTATTTAAGTGTAATGAGATTAATTTGTGTTGACCAAAAATGATCTTGATAAATATTAAACAAGTAAGGAAGGTGTGGAGTACACACTTGTTTAAGTTTGATCAAGTTTCAAAGTACACTGTCATTTAGGGGCGAAGCCCCTGAACGAACGGGGGTCCGGGGGCAGCGCCCCTGGGAGCGGGGTCCAAGGGGCAGCAGCCCCTGGCGGGGTCCAAGGGGCAGAGCCCCTGGCTTATCCATATATCTGTTTTATGATAGTTTTTATGGTTTTATGACAGTTTAAAACTGTCATATGACAGTTTTCAGACAAAGTTGTTAAAGTTGGTTTTGGTCTCATTTTCTGGTACATACGAAAATATCATCAAACATTCTCGATTCTTGTCTCTCAGAGTCTTATCCAATTGAAGATTTGGGAGTACCACCAAATACTTCGATTTGAAAGTGATAATCACAATTCTCAGAATTTCCAAGCCTTTCTACA